GGGGGGGGGAGAATTCAAGCCTTACATTCACAAAATAAGACTCAACTAAAAAATTTGTCACATCTCTATTTGGTAGCATATAAGGAACCATGGAACTTGGAGTAATTGGTGCCGCGGGCTCCAAGATATGATGCCGGTTGGGGTCATCCGTAAACGCCGATGGGCCGGTAGTGTTGAAAACAATCATACGTATTAACTGCAGATAGGAGAGGGTGGATGAATCTCCAATGTAAACTGGCAACAAGCAACGGCAATCAGTCAAGTTTCTTTTCATTCTTCGGTATGAAATCATCAAGGATCAACGTTTACTTACGAAGCCTTTCCATGGGGTCTTGCAGCATTCGGATATGGCCGATTATTTCAGCTTCCTCGTCTGATTCCGACCCTGTGCTTCGGCGGGAGCTCTCATCGCCCTCCTCGCTGACGGAGCAAACCTCGTGGGCATTGGGAGAACGGCTTGCCTTGCCCCGGCTTCGTCTTTTGGCCTGTCGCACGGATTTGGCTTTCTTGGTCGCTTTCTTCGGAGATGTTTCGAGGGTAGCCTCGCGGCTGGAAGTCGCAGCGATAGTGTCCACGGAGTCGGAGGCATTGCTCAGTCCTGTCGGAGATGTTGCATGGACGGACATGAGCTTCGCAGGGCCGCGGCCGTCTGTGTAGTCGCATATCAAGTTTCTCTTGATACACGTGTTGCACGGGTGAAGGCCATTGCACTTGGAGGCAAAAAAAGTCAGCTCGTGCAGCGTACATAACCGAGATGTTGCGAGTCGCATGCAAGGCCTTAGCGAGGGCCTTTTTCATGCAGCTTGGCTGGCTTTTTAATATATTCTAGGCGGTTTGGTAGTCAAAAGGGGCAATGCGTCCGCCTGCCAGCACACTTATGCCGGCTCAAGCCATGTTATAGCCGGGCGCCAGCGTCTAAGCCAGCGTTGATGTAAAAGATCAATTGATCTGTCACATTGCGCAGGCATACACGGGCTGTACATATGCTATGCCGGCAAGGCAACAGCAACGCAAACAGCTCACTCGCATAAGTTTCGCTTCGCTCGGAGCAGTTTGCTGCAACCAGAACAGACAGTTTTCGCCAGTTCGCGCATGAACTGGCCGCACATCGGGATTTGATCGCATGTTGGGGGTGACATGCATATCGCGACATTCAATAGTCGGAAACTGAGGTGTGGCAACGTGTAATGGCGCGAATATAGTCGCGATACAGTTTGCTTTCCCTTGTGCATGTATATGGGCTATGTGTTTGTGTATGTGTATGTGGTGTAGATGTGATCTGTGTCTCGGAGCGTACAGAAGAGGAATGACAAAGTTCAAGTGTCCAAGTGTCTGGGGGCCAGGAATGGAAAATGAAAAATGACTGATAATTTGTAGACTTACTTTTTGCTTTCTGCGCTTGCAAGAGTCGCAAGCACGCGCAGTCCTCTGTCTCTTGTCGTCTGGAACTCTTGGTCGGGTCATGGCGGGCGAAGAGCACTGCGCATCCGATAGATACCCTTCGTGTGAAGCCGGCTATCGTTCTTTTCTTGTAATGGTTCCTAGAAGCGGGCGCACCAGCTACTGTAGAGCAATTCACGAAACCTCCACGACGGCTTATCTACCGTCATCCTGTGCTTATAAGTCTTGTTCAAAGAGGCCCCCGCGTTGAGAGAAGTCTCTGTCAAGAGAGTCGGGGAGAGTTTAGATTCGCCCACGTGGCGGTAAGGCACAAACTCCCCCCAATGCAATGATGAGAGGTTATCGCCCCGTCACTCCCTCTGATCAAGGGTATATACCAATGTTGGTGGTAGACCGCCAGAAAGAGCTTTCGACTTGAAATGGCCGTAAGCCTGAATCGGGAGCATGCAGAAGGGAAGGACAGCTGATGAGACCGGCCTTTGTTCATGGGACGAGCTTCAACACGACCCCCCCTGGTGCAGAGCCACAGCCAACACAGCAGCTTTTGATTGACGGGGTAGCTGGATGTAATGTCAGACTGACAGTAACAAAGCTTTAAAAGATTGTGACACCTGGGGAAATATCAAGCTAGCAAAGAAGAGAACCGGTGTACGACTTGCCTGACGTGTGGGTGGGACAAGAGCAAATACACAAAGTACACGCCCCAAAACTGCCTGGCCTCAAGCATATGCCGTTTGGTGGTCTGTGGCAAGTCCCCATTGGGCTATTGAGGAGATAAATGGCTCCGAGTGATTGGTAAAGATGTGCTAGGGCCGGGCACCATCCTGATCGTTCCAACATGGCTTGTTTGTTGTCCCCCAAAAAGTCCTCTTGGCGTCGGGCGTTAGATTGGTACCGCTGCCCATCGGTGACGTAGCGGAGATCTCCCATCTTCAGGACTGACGATGTTGGATATTGGATATGAGGAGGCGCTGATGATGTGTCCTGCAAAGAGCATGAAACGGAAATCGTGGCGTCAAGGATGAGTTCAGCCCCTAGCCCCCCAGCCTTTTCTAGCTGAGCCTCGTCGTGGAAACCGACACCAAGCAACGGACCCTTGTTAATGATAGGCAGCTAATGTCTTTGTCCGAGTTAGGAGCTTGGGTCCAGTTGGGCTTGCATTGATCGCGCGCGTGAGGTGGAGATGCTACTGCTGTACTTGCTCCTTCGCCATCTCAGACCGCTCTGCAGCTATATAGCATCAGTTCAATGTATCCCAATTCGGCATGGACCTATGGAACAGTGCGACTCTGCTGTCTTGCATATAACCATCCTGGCGGTCTACCTAGTCAATGCAGCAATCCTGGTAAGCTTCATTGGCAACTGAAACATCGCGGAAGATAAGGAGATTCGAGCTGCTGTCGTGACCATATTAGCGTGGGACATATTCTGTGATACACACACCAGACAAACCTGGGATTGCCCATGACGCTCTTCCAGCCAAAATGGCAAGAGAAGCAATGTACAAGGCACACTTGTCGAAAGGGCGTAGCGTGCCCTCCTCGACTCTTAAAACCAAATTGTGAACTACAGACCCTGCTTTTTTTTTATGCTCTAGCTTGGCAAATTTACAATAGGTCATAAATATGTACCACGGAAACTAAGAGAATCAAAGGTTTTGACACTTGCTGACAGAAATTGAGAATAGCAAATGCAAGGAGGTCCGTACATGCGGTCTAGACAAGAAGCAAAGAGCGAAACACTGTACGACTCTTTGACATAAAGGCCGAAAGGGGTCCTGGATGGTATAGCAACGCTGCTTCTCTAAGCCATAATTTTCCAAACCCCCAAAGAATATCTCCAGAATCCACTTAGAAAGATAGAAACATTACAGTACCTTTTCAGAAAAGATACTGGGAGGGCTCGTGTAAGCGCAAGTGTGGACGGGCCATTAAGAAGTGGAGCGCTGGCTGTCAGTCTAACGAGACCATGCGATGAAAGTGCATAGTTGGGCATCGCAGCCTTGTGCATATTTTCCCCTGTACGTGCGTTGTTGGAACTGACGTGTGTGCCCGTCGATTCCAAGGGGCGAGGGGAAGTGAAATTTTGTTTGTGTGAGAGGAGGGGATGAGTGTCAGGTACACAACATATCGTCCGACCTCTGAAAAGAGCTTTCTAGCCGCAGATGAAATTACCAGGATATTTAAGTAAGACAAGATCCGTCTACGATTCCTCGCGTGCCAAAGCGTCAGAATGACGGAAAGATGTGACGGCCCGCGAGCAGAGTGCCGGTGGTTTAGGTACTGATGTTCTGCACGCGCTCCCGAACTTTGAGGTGGTAATAAATGTCTCACGGCTTTCAGCTCCGTGGCCGGCGAATAGCAAGCACACATTTTCTCTCTCTCTTTTCATGCAATCACTCATTGAGTAATATCCGCGGTCTGTATATATCCACCCAGTCAATATACGCGAGCCCCATAGAAGGTTCGTGCCACTTGGCAAGCATAAAGGCACAGCAGCAGCTGACGCCGTAAAGTGTTTTGACGTGAATGGCCTAGCTCTTGATGCCGCGTTCATAACGTAGACACTTCAGCGACCTAGTCACATGCTTCTTGACGTGCTTGTGCAGAAGCGGTTGATGCAAGTGAGCCCCCCTCGCATCAGTAGGCTGAGTAGTAGCAGCATGCAAACTGATGTCCATGGAGCCCGGCGAGGACGAGGATCGATGACAACGCAAGTCTAGACCGGTAACTAGCGCCCGCTGAAACGCTGAGAGGCCTGATGGCCGGAGCATCCCTTGCGCCACGTACCGTACCTGATGCATATCATCCACGCCACACTCACCGAGTGTACCCCGCCATCCAATGGCAGAGCAGTAAGCTACAGCCGGTGTAGAGAGACGAAGGTCTGGCTGCCGCGCTATGGGATGCTTGGAAATGAGCGGCCAGGATGCCGAGCATCCCATTCGACGTCTCTGAGATGCGACATCGCGACGAGTGTCCACGTGCCTGATCACCCTTGCATTTGGTGGAAGAGTGGTGTGGCCGGCTCGAAGAGAGAAGAATCAGAGCTGAGACTGCGATGCTGTACCCCATTTACACGGTATGGCTTGGTAGGTAGTAGTAAAGGCGCTAGGCCATGAAAGGCGGTGCTACAACGGGAACAGAAAACGCAACGTCGTTCAGGCCGAAGATTGATCAACCATCTCCTGCCTGTGAGACAACGTCCAGGAACATGGGATAAGACGGCTGTTTCTCAATCGCATTGGAAAGCAAGGCGGACACTGGGGCCTTGGACAGAGGGCATTGGCAACAGGAGTATGTAGTAATTTGGGGGCCACGAGAGGTGGCAGTAGAATATGCATGAGACAAAGTGATTCCGTCTGTTGTTGTGATTGCTCCGGCGTGTGACTCTCGCTTTCCAAAGCCGAGCCAGTCGCGCATGACGCCGCTCACACATAGCACGAAATAGCCTGCTCGCTTGCTCAACGTTGGTGAGTATCCCGGTTCACACCAGTCTGCATATTTTGGTTGCGAGACGCGGCAAGCTTCTAATTTCACTCAACACGCCGTGTCTCGGACGTAGCTTGATATGGGTATCTGTGGATGATTGTTAAATTAGTCGCCCACAATAACATCATACATCCGCTGCCAAGCAGACTGAGGTTACCTTGTAATCGGGAGTGAGGCCAGTAAGAAGTATGAGAAGGCAAGCTGTGAATGGAAATAGATTAGACGTCACCCCCTTAACAAACGGCCACACACTCGCCTTGTCAGGGCCCATCCACAGCAGGCAGAGACAATCCAGGTGTTCATGAAACAGGAAAACATAAAGTAACAATGAAGGCAGTTGTTCAAAAAATAATTGAAAATCTAGTTTTGGGGGGGATAATTATAATTACAATTCGGGTTTCAAAATCATAGCAATGTCTCGGGCACTTCCTCCAGGGCGAGCTTGCACCGCTCTAGAAACAGCTCGGCCCTGGCTTTCTCTTCCTTGGGGACAAGTAGACTGAAGGTGTGGATGTCTTCGGCAATGACCCTGGCAGCTGGTCTAGGGGCGGGCCGTTGAGCTGACGGAGAGCTGGCCTTTCTGGCAGAGCCAGCCAAGATGTCAATAATGTCAGATTTCTTAGCGGATGTCCGCCGAGAGGTCGCAAGTGAGAAGTCAGGGATTGTGGGAACATATGACCCCCGGGAGTATTTGTTGGCCTTGGTCCTGCTTAGACCAAGAACCTCGTCAAACAGCTCATTCGTGGTTGGCTGGCGGGGCACGACAGGCAGACGGCCATTCGCGAATGCAGTAGCTTTGGAGATGAATGTGTTTATTGACACGGAAACATCGGCGGAGTCCTGGAGCCGTCTCTGCAGCTGGACTACGTTTTCCAATGAGATGGGGAGCTCCACCAGGACATTTTCCGGCTTGGGCGCAGCTTTGGGAGCCTTGGCCTCTGATGCCTCGGGGGCCTTAGCCGATTTCTTTTCAGCTACCTTGATGTTGCTCAAATCCAGGTGAGCCAGCTTGGTGAAATGCGAGGACAAGGTGGCGGGTCGGTCGGCGTTAATAGCACCAATGTAGGCCAAGACGTCGCCTTTCAGCAGTCTTCCGCTGGGTCCTGTGCCCTTGATTTTGCTCACGTCCTCTTTGGTGAGGCCATGCTCATGAACGAGAAGGCCAACTGAAGGAAGCAGCGGGTAGCTGTGCTCGTATGTTCCGCTAGCAGAAGACTCTGGTTTTTTGGCGGGTTTTGCAGCAGCCTTTGGCTCCTCCTGCTGCGAAGCTGGAGCCGCTGCGGGCTGTGAGCTGGCTTTGGGCTGCTCATCTGCGGGCAGCTCCAGGGCGCTGATATCATCTCCGGCATCGGCCAGAACAGCAATGCGCGTGCCCACCTGGACTCCTTTGCTGCCATCCTGAGAGATGACCTTCATCATGATGCCATCCTCCTGGGCTTCCACGTCCATGGTTGCCTTGTCCGTTTCGATCTCGAGCAAGACGTCGCCGGCGCTGAAGGCATCGCCCTCCTTGACCTTCCAGGTGGCAATATTTCCCTCCGTCATTGTCGGAGACAGAGCCGGCATTGTGAAGTTTTGGGCGGCGAGGCATCGTGAAGAAGTTGTGAGACCTATAGAGGCACCAAACTAAGTCAGCCACGCTCTCTTTTCATATATCGAAGGTGTTGAAACGTATGTCTCTTGTCATCCACGCCCTGGTGGGGAGCTGCGCGAAGCAACCTGCAGGACTTACCGCGAGAGGTCGCCCGACCGCCTGCGAGCCGGGCTGAGATGCGGCACGCCGCCGCGAATGAAGCCATTGAAGCTCAATTGAGCGCAGAGAGGCAGACGCGGGTTGAGTTGGTGGTGCTCGAGCGAAGGAGGCTCTACTGGCAGATGAGAGCTTTCTTTGCTGTTGGGAATCGGCCCTGCTGGAAGGCGCGCACAGACCAACCAACTTTTTTTGGTGGGGTGCCAAAAATTACGTGGGCAAGAGTGGGAGACTCGGTTTTATGCAAGCAGCTGAGTTTACAGATTACGAAAAACACATATCAGGTAGACCTATATACTCTCTCGACAGTTTCAAGATTGGGTATTTAATTGATTAGATTTTGTGTTATTTACTTTCCATGCATTGTTGTTCTAACATGCTGCGCTGTGACTTTGAGATGCACCAGATATAAGGCGCATGGATCCACAAGAGCTAGCGCTGAACGTGGTGTTTTCAAGGAACTTCAGCGCCAATGGCGAAACCACGGCAGAGTCAGGTACAGGCCTAACGGCTTATCGTAGCGCCTGGCCGTAGATAACGCCAATTACAGGGATCGACTGATAATTCTCTGTAAGTGGTTGCTTGGAGAATGATGCTGCAATAGACTCGCCAAAGCAGCAGTTGCAAGTAATGGCTACCGCTTTATGACGATTGAACCCAATTGGTCGTTAAAACCCAGCTTCTTCTTCTTCCTCCATTGAGAACTGCGCAAACCAAACCCCTCATTGCGATTCTGGCATGGCGAGCTTCGCAAGAGGCTTCCGCCTCGTCCACAGCCCTTGGGCCACCTTGACTCCACGAACTCTTCTCCCAGACGTCTCCTCCGCCCAGTCCCGACTCTTTACAACTTCACTTCGACTACGAGCATCTACAGCGCCGAAACCTCAACCTAAGCTCCGTAAAGACATCACCCCGAAACCGACAGCGAGCCAATCGAGTTCTTCTCCACTTCCCTCAGCTTCAGCAGCTCCCAGCCGATATGCCTTTGTCAAGAACTTGGCGTCAAAACCTACACCAACCCTGTTGTACGAGGCGCCCTCACATTTCTGGTTCTACTTTGGATGCTGGTCGAGCGGTTTGACCATCATCACTTGGACGGTGCTGACGGGCCCGACTGCCGTTCAGCAGCCAGAAGGCGTCCCGGTGTGGGTTGGCTATACTCTTGGAGCCTCGTATGCCCTGCTTGGAGCCATGGGCTTCTATCTGCTTTCCAAGACTCCCAATATCGTTAGCAGTATCCGTGTGCTGCCACCAGTTCAAGCGGCCGGCCAGACTACTGCGCGACCAGGAATAGCGTCTGCCGTGCCCCAGCTCGAAGTCAAGGTCAAGCGCATGTTTCCGATTCTGAACCCCAAGGTCATTACGACACCACTAGATAATGTCGCACTTAAAACTCGATTCTCGCTTCCAAGCGAGTATGTTCCGGAGCTGAGACGAATGGAGATGCAGCTTGAAGAGGAGGCTCGTAAGAGGGCATTATGGAAATTTGACACCGAGCATCTCCTCACTATGCCTTTCAGGAGGATTGGCCGTGCGTTTAAGAATATGTTTAATGGAGTAAGAGCAGCATGGACCGATGTGGGATACGGCATCATCAAGGTGGACGGGAAGCAGTACAAAGTGGACGTTACAAGAGGATATGCCCACGATGGGTTCCGAACGTTGGAGCGTATTGTAAACATCGGTTTCAAATGATTGGAAAAAGACACTCACGAATGAAAATGTACAGTATACCAATATATGTATAAGTACCTAGCTAAAAAAAAAAAAAAAAAAAAAAAAAAAAGGCAAATTATCATTAGTTTGATTGTGCTGTATATCATCAAATTTTAGCAACCAAATTATCGCAACACCCAATTAGATCCTACCATTGCAGCTCCTTGACTACGCTATTATCCCAAAACTCACATCGCTGTCTCAGCCTCTCCCCCGCAAACACCGGATTGGCTTGTGGCCCTTCTATGTATGAAATACCCTCATTTGGCCCTCCCGCAATAAATACCTTGACCTGTCCCTCCCTCTCAAAGGCTGGACCCCACCCCTGAAAAGTGCCATAGTACGGCAGACTTGGTCTCCCAACGCTGGCAAAAGCCGACCAGGACCTTGAGGCTCGGACTTGGAGCGAGTAGTCGGCAGGCGAAGGATTAAATGGCAGCCCACTGACGTTGTAGTGCGAGAGGTTTCCAAAGATGTACGCGAATTCGGATGTGTGAACGGGGCCCATGCCGGCCGGGTGACCAAGATACTCCAGGATGGGATCCAAGATTGTCTGGTTCCATTCGTACAAATAGATTTGATTATTGTTGAACGTTAGATGATTGGCAAAATAGTATGGCTGGCACGTCATGATGATATCTCGAAATATCCTGGCAGCGCGATAGTACTCTCCCGAAAGGTTATTGTTCGCATGAAAATGCTTCACCGGATAAAGCTCAAGAAGACTCTGGAGATGGTCATCTGTTAAATCGGGCACATAATCGGCTATGAAGTCTCGAGTATCATTGGCGGTTGAGATGTTTGTGTTGGTAAAAAGCGTAACATCGTCGCGGCACCAGCCCATCATGATGATGAGATCTCGGGCAAATTTATTTCTATAAACAAGAGTGGAAGGATGATCCGGTAAGTAGTCCCCATCTACTGCTGGAAGCCAAATATCGCCAATATTTACATCGGTTCGATAAGTTGCGATCGAAGCGGCAAGTACAGCTTCCATTTCGGCATCTCGAAGACATGAAAGAGTTTCGACTGAGTGCAAGTCCGTTGTATTACATCCCAGGAAGTCGACAACGGCCTTTGTGGCATTCAACGTATACTTAGCTGTGATTCCGGGCTCCATCGCCTGGCTCTGGCAGATGGCCTGTTGGAAGGGAACAGGTTTCGTGCCGCCGTAGGACAAGATGTGAGCGCCCACGGCAAGACCTAGATTGACACAGATATTAGAGCTGGAATTCGTATCTGTGCTGTATCTGATGAGCATTGTGTGCCATACCTCCAGAAGACTGCCCAAAGATGGTGACTTTCTCAGGGTTTCCACCGAAATATGCGATATTTTCTCGGACCCATTCCATGGCTAGGCGCTGATCTCTCAAGCCAGCATTTTCGGAGCCAGTCTCCCTAAGGGCTGTGGTCTGCGCGAATCCGAAAACTGTTTCCCAGTAATTAGCTCCAAAGCAACCCGTACGCGTCAAACACGCCAAACAGCTATACTCACCACCAAGACGGTAGTTCATGCTGACATGAATGACCGGAAGCTTGTTCTTGACCGATTCGAGAACCAGTCCATCTGGAGACGTTGTAATCTCGCTATTGGAGCCAGCCCAGAAGCTGCCGCCATGAATATATACCATGACAGGAAGAGAAGCATTCGCTTCTGTTGCTCGTGGCCGAACAATATTCAAGTTCAAACAGTCTTCGGAAATTGTGGTAATATTTGTCAAGGACAAGGGTACCATCCAGCTTCCCAGAGGCTGGGGGCAAGCCGGGCCATATGAGTCTGCCTTGACAATACTTCCAGGGACGGGTAAATGAGGTCGAGGAGGTTTGAACCGCCAATAATCACCGGTGTCTTTTCCATACGGTATATTCAAGAAGGCTTCTATCCCATTACGATGAATGCCTTGATAGGTGACAGGTGCTTTAGGGATGGTCGCTATAGGAGGTGCAGCGGCAAGGCCTGTAAAGGCCATCATGCCGAGTACGGCAAGCATACATGTATAACACATCGACAGCATGATGGCCGTGTCCTCAGTGAGGCCAAAGTGGGAAGAGGAAATTAGAAATTAGAAAATAAGAGTGATCTAAAGTTCTTACGCGGCCGTCAGAACTTAAATCGATCTGGCTTGGATCCACGTGAGGTTGAGACCCAGCGGTACATCATATATTGTACCTCTAGGAGGCTGAGTTTGTAGTGCCACGAGACAGTGGATCGTCAGGGCGCCGCTGATAGCTAAAAGCAGGTATTCCAGTAACATGATATATACATCAGCTAGATGAGATGTATATAACTAAGGTAATGAGCTATCTCATCAGATAGCAATAGGCTATATACTTTGACGTTTGAGTGCCGGGTTTTTTTGAGATCGTACACACCACGCAGAAATGCAGGTAATAATACACTAATTCAAGACGATCTCTCAACTAGCATCAATGTAATACTAACCTTACTGTGCACAGCGCAAGAGTAGTATTGCATGTGACGCCTGATGGTACTTATGTACATGTCTGCTTATTAGGGCACGGCACAAGCTTCACGTAAGGCGAGCGACGATCGAGTATTCCCTGCATCGTGCACTTCCAGGTACATAAGTGTAAGAATTGACCCTTATCTGCAAACGTTAATCGACACCACAAACTTATTTTCGTTGGCCTGTTTGATACGAAAAAGTATAATTGTATTCTCTTCACTCTTGCCAAGGGTTGGACGTACTAAGTTTATGTACACTCGATGGAGCAAGTACCAGTCGCCAAAGACTTTCTTGCTCCTTTTATGTACTTCATTTTGCCTATCACTGAAAGTCAGCTCTGACAGAAGAAGAGATACAAACAATCTCCATCCATCACCGCTCTTCTTTAGTAATCGAATAACCGAGTTTACACGTGATAAGAAAGCCCAAAGGCGGAGTTCCAAGCTCGTAATACTACCAATAAGGTAATTACATGTAAATATAGGGAGCTCCGCTTCGTAGGGCTGCTGGGCTGTTACTAACACCAGATCTGCCGATTTCACCAGGTTTACACTTATGAGCAGATCACCCGATCGCGCTCGCCCCCACCTCAGTTTGCTCTCAAGAATCCTTCGGCTGTAGGCTTTTACAAATGATGAGGGGGTGCGGTCTTGGCAAGTGAATTTTCTTTGTGTTGAAGCTGCGCTAGCAAGGAATACCTGGGCGGTATGAGCAAGGGTCGTAAAGGGTATTTCGTATATATATCTCGCAACATGGACCATCTGCTATCTAGAAACAGAAGGTATAAACGGCAAAATCAGATTATTCAGTACCTGTGAACGTATTGCACAGGTAAAAATTCTCAGAGAAAGAGGGGCAAAGCGATACCTTTGTCCCCTTTCGTACTGGCAATTCTCCCAAGATTCAGTTGGATGGGCCGTACTCGTGTTACTGATTTCTCGCTTGTTATTAGTTGTCACTTGACCGAGTACCTATACGTAAACGCCTATTGGAAAATATCTCGGGATTCCACGCCCGAGATGCCCCCTGTTCTCACGAGATGCCCCATGCACCGCTAGACACGAATTTGTGTAGTTGCAAGAAATTGAAATTGAAATCTAAGTATTCCAGCCAGAATAGCTTCAGAGCTGCTTTCCAGGGTATTGTAGTCATGAGCTAAGAAGAACCAAAGAGTTCGGGGGAGCAGAAGCCGAAATGTTTACTCACTGAGATGAAACACTCTATTCTACTTGACATTGATGCCGAAGGCGTGTGCAAATCGGTGCCGGTTCATTCAACCGGTAATCACCCAGAGGGAACCAAAAGCAAACCAGACTGTGGCCCTTCTCTTCTCTTCTCTTCTCTCCCGACCGCTTTTCCACTCTTCCCTCCACTAATACGGTCGACATCTTAGGCGAATCTCTCTCATGCGCGTGAGTGGAGGTGACAGTGCCGGCGCTCTTGATAGCTGCCGGGGGGCCGCCTGCGCGCTGATACTTGACAAGGATTCCGTACTCCATAAACCGTTTGATCATCTAAGTGGCATAGCTTCATGTAAGGGACACTGGCCTACGGGCCGCCCAATAAGACCACTGCTTACCTCGCTGCCTAGCTGTTCTTCGTCTCGTCGTATCGTCGTACTTTTACCAGTTGCCAGCGCGAGTCAGCAATCAAAAGACTACATGTATTGTCTCGTCGACGTCGCTTCTTCGGGTGACGTGGCTAACCGTAGGCTCCGCCGCTGCAATTCATGTCGCCGGGCGGGATACGTCATTAGAGTCGCAGTCGCTTAATGCATACACGTCTGGGCTGTCTAGAAAAAAAAATGCTCGTATCTATATGGTGGCATGCATCGATCCTTTGCAGCCAAGACGGACAGGCCACTTTTGCCTCGTACATGTACATACATATGCACCATGTGTATGCACATGCATCAATACGTGTAGGTAGTAGAGCAATCCAACTGATCAACACGACATGGTAGCAATTTGACCTAGGCCGGATCGCTGTTCTGAGGAGGTTTTGCTTGGCTTGTTTTCTCGTCGTGTTATTCCCGAGTCCGCAAACCTTATGCAATTTTGCAGCAGCATATCGAATATAAGTGCACAAAGTGGCGCGAAACTCTGAAACTCTACATCACCACTGAAACCAGGAGGCATCGCAACTGCCGGGTTTTAACCTTCAATTCTTCTCCATCTCTCGCCTTCGTTGAATCCAGTCTCCATCACAATACCCTCGTGTCTTGATATCGAAGCTTCAATATGCCGGCTCAGACGGAATGGCTAAAGGCTCATGCCACGCCAGCTGGAGAAACCGCACAGGGCGAAAACTACTACACAGACGACGTGGATTGTCTCATCGACTACCTTGAAGGAAACATTACGGCTGAGGAGGCTGCGCTGTCTATAACCCAAGATTTACTCGACGAGGTCAACCCACCTACTGAGCTATACCGGTTTATGGGATTACTCTGCGAAGCCCTGGTAGAATTGAAAAACGACAGAGAAAAGCTATTAGAGCTCCTTGCAGCCATCAAGAGGATTCCGCCTGAAGAGATTAACTGGCCTGCTCTACCAGGACTTCTTCCCTTGTGGAGCGACTTATACAGACTCCATACCCGCGGCCCAAATGGTTGGGAGGTAATAGGAGAACCGCTACCTGACAACAAGAAAGCTGAGCTGCGCCGACATTATGAAGAGATCGGGGCGGTCGAAGCCACGCTATACGTTCGAGAACTCGGCGGCGTTACGGAGAATTGGGGGTACGAGCTGTTGAACCTGGCCAGTCTGAGACGTCCAGGCCTCGATGTTGTCATCGGCGAGATACACGCGTGGCTTACTGTTGCTGGGACAAAGTTGGTAAAAGACTTGGATCCAGACGAAGTGAGGAACTGGCCTAGGCCGGTGGTCGGTGGGCAGCCTGGGCAGCGGCTTTCGGTTGAGGCGACAATGGCACAGCATTGGGAGGCGTGGAGAAGCTCTTTGCTGCGAATTAGCGAGGAGAAGGGTTTATTGAGTGATGAAGCGAGGATGCTTGCAAGAAAGTGCCATGCGATGATGCAAAGGCCTGTACAGGCCCAAAATGGTCAATAGCATACGCATATAGGTTGATCTAACCGCGCAAGCATTGTATAGAAGGAGGACAGAAGATGGTCTAATATTGACTTTTTCAAGACATCAGTAATATCAGAAAAAATAGATTGACTTGCTGTATATAGGCAGGTATATATAATCTGGCTTCATACTGAGCGTATGTAGCGTTGGTCAAATAGATACGATTGTGAGATAGAGTGTTTGCCATGACCAAGTTGAATCAGAAAATGGATATGTATGCTTACAGCATGACTGATACCATAAAGAGATACAAATGATCATGGGGCCTATCTTGTTATGACCTTGACCACAATTAAGCGTTCTACATGGTGGCATCTAATAATGGGAAGTGATATTGATTTACAAGCCCCGCGCGACCTACTCCCCTCTCCTCTTGTGATGAGAAAAGTAAAGGTCTCTGAAATGAGCTAGAGCTATTGATGATGATTCAACAGGTTACATCTCGCAACAATAACTGCAACCAGCTTGCAAATACACGAAACGTATCAGAGACTACAGCCACAGATCTGCAGTGCCAACTATAGCTTCCAAAGCGCACAATGGAGCATTATAAACGAAAGAGAAGCTCATCATCCTGCATTGGCAACTTACCATATGCCAATGAGCTGATCCGTTTGTCCAAGCTCGGAAAGACACTCGCCCTGGATGTCTGTTGGCCAGCCAAGTACTAGTTTGCAGCTGTGGCACTTACACTGCCGCCGATGCCGCGATGCGGAGTGATTTGTTGGTCAGGCACGTAGCTGTAGAACAAGCTTCATGTTGGTATTTGATTGTGGCTTTTGCAAGAGTTGGCACAAGATTGTATTGGTGGCATCAACACAGACATACGAAACGCGTGGCTTGGAGTCCCTAATACCACAAGACAAATAAATGTCAGATAGAGACACCTACCGGCTTCTAGCATTACCCCACAAATGCGTGCAATTATCAATAGCGTCCGAATGCCGATGTCACAGTACTCTCCACAGCTGGAGCCCTCTATGCGGAGGTTGGGCTTGTCATTTGGCTCTCTTCATTGATAGCTAATAATTGATCATTGATCACACAGCCAATAGGTAATAGCTGAGCTCCATACAAGTAGACTACTCTCAAGCCTTTTTGCCGTAGTGAGTGTAGTCGCGGCAGATCCAGGAACCAACGCAAACTCTTACGCCACTTTTAACCCCGAAGCAGCTAAGCACATTGGAAACGTGCAGTTGCCAGCGAACTAAAGGCGCTGAAAGCAAACTAGAAACGTTACAGCAGTCCACTATGAAGATTGGCAAGTGCCTTGGCGATATACTGGGGGAATGCCACACATACAAACATATGGCGATGACATTGATCGGCTTGCCGGCGCCGACGGCCGGAGAGATTGATCCAATGCGGCGCAAGGTAACATTTGATTGATCGCTAAAAACTGCACTAATACCATTACTTTGGCTTGCATGCATTGAAACCACAGAGTCGGGCTGAGGCGTCAGACTTTCCGCCATCAGCTCCCAGATCGTGCCGATGGCGATTCTTAGCTACTAGCAACAGCAAGAGACGAACCTGTCAGAGGCCTGTCAGAAGCCTTCACGCCAATGATATGCCGGGCTTTCCTCAACCCCGGTCCGGCCAACGTCTTCGCGCTTCCACGTGGTTGTTACATCGTCGCTCAAGCTTCCAGAAAGCCAGCAATCCCCACACGCCAGCTAGCTACATGCGGTGGTGACAATCCATGGCCCGTAACCAGCTCCTATAAGAGCTCGGTCCCTGAGCTGTCAAAATGTTCTCTCCAGACACCAGTTCTCGGACCCTGTGAGAACAAATCGTCCCCCTTGGAAAGGCCCAGCAGCTTGACCGCCCCTGATGCGTGCCTCCAAAACTTGTGTCTGGCTGCTCTCGGCCTTTGGCGCCGTTGCGACCAGCAGCACCTCGTCAACGGCCGGCGTCGAGTCTCTTGTCAAACGCCGTCTCCCGAGTCATGCAAATGCCTTTCAATTTGCGCTTGAGCCGTCATCACACGGATCTGCTCTGACCAATGATAGCTACACGGTTTCCTCGACCAGGGATGGAAAGATTCGGATTGAGGGCACTACAACGAGTGCCTTGCTGTCAGGGTGAGTCTTGGTGGAGTTGTCCCCATTGCCCTACTCCCAGGCGCAAGAGCAATATATGCTGATTGAATCCAAGCCTTCACAAGTACCTGTCTAGCGAGGCAAATGTCGATATCTGGTGGTACATCGGAAGCCAGTTGGATCAAGCTCCAAGAAACCTTCCAAAGCTCAAGTCTCCCCTTATAGGCACCAGTGTAGTTCCCTATCGCTATCACTGGAATACAGGTAAGTCCAGATCTTCATGTGCCAACTCCCCTTTACGCATAAATTAACAACGTCACACAGTCACAACCTCCTATACGAGCGCGTTTTGGTCATGGGAGGACTGGGAGACACAGCTGGACTGGATGGCGCTTCGCGGAGTGAATCTGGCCCTCGCCTGGATCGGTGTCGAGAAGATCTTCATTGACGTCTTCACCGACATTGGCCTCAACGATGAGGAGATCAGCTCCTTCATCAGCGGACCTGCTTTCCTTGCATGGAATCACTTTGGCAATATCCAGGGATCCTGGAACGGCAACATGCCTGACAATTGGGTTGACGATCAATTCGCCCTGCAGCTCCAGATCTTGGATCGTATGAAAGAACTCGGCATCACGCCCATTCTACCAGCTTTCCCCGGATTCGTACCGCGTAACATCTCTCGCGTGTTTCCGGGCATTTCTCTGTCCACGAGTCCTCTCTGGGAAAACTTTGCAGAAGACCTCAGTGCTGATACATATGTCAACCCATTCGATCCGCACTTTACTCAGCTGCAAAAACTATTCATTGGCAAGCAGCAAGAGCTCTATGGCAACGTCACAAAGTTTTGGACACTCGACCAGTTCAACGAGAACCAGCCGCTCTCTAGCGACTTGGGCTACCTTCGAAATGTCAGTCAAAACACCTGGACTGCCCTCAAATCTGCCTCGCCGGACGCAATTTGGGTGATGCAAGCTTGGCTGTTTTCCGCAGACAGTTCATTCTGGACAAATGATGCCATTGAAGCTTTCTTGGGTGGCATCACAGAGGATTCAGACATGCTGCTTCTCGACTTGTTTGCCGAGTCGGCTCCTCAGTGGCTTCGCACCAACTCTTTCTACGGCAAGCCTTGGATCTGGTGCGAGCTTCATGACTATGGTGGCAACATGGGCTTGTACGGCCAGATTGAGAATGTGACCATCAACGCTATGCAGGCGGTGCGAAACTCGAGCTCTCTTGTCGGATTTGGCTTGACTATGGAAGGCCAGGAGGGCAATGAGATCATGTATGACCTGCTGTTGGACCAAGCTTGGAGCCCTAAGCCCATTGACACAGAGACTTACTTCCACGACTGGGTCTCAGCCAGATATGGAACCGAAAATGTCAAGAGCCTGTACACCGGATGGGAGCTTCTCCGTCCTACTGTGTTTAACAATACAAACTTGACAGTCAATGCCGTCCCCAAGTCGATATTGGAGCTAATTCCCAATATCAACGGTCTCTTGGGCCGCGTCGGCCGCCATGGCACCACAGTCACATACGATCCGGCCGTCATGGTCGAGGCCTGGACAGAGCTCTTCAAAGCTGGCCTGGAAGACGTGAAGCTGTTTGGCAACCCAGCGTACCAGTACGATCTTGTTGACTGGACGCGTCAAGTTCTCGTTAACGAATTCGATGGCCTCTATAAAGATCTTGTTACGGCATATAATAGCTCCGCAAACGCTGCTGAGATCAGATCTCGCGGATCCAAGCTCACTGCTCTGTTGAAAACTCTTGACGCTGTTCTCGCAACGAATGAGAATTTCCAACTCGCTACCTGGATCGACGCCGCTCGCGCAAGCAACCCATCCAACACCAGCTTCCTCGAGTACAACGCTCGCAATCAAGTCACTCTGTGGGGACCTACTGGACAGATTGAAGATTATGCGTCAAAGCAGTGGGCTGGACTGGTCGGAGACTATTACCTCGGACGATGGGAACAGTTCATCGACTACCTTGCAACAACCAAGCACTCGAGCTACAATCAGACTGCCTTTTATCACAAATTACAAGCTTGGGAGATACAGTGGGGTAATCAGATTTCTGGCAAAACCTCCAAGGCTACGAGTACAGGGGCCAAAGAAATTCAGGCTGTTCTGCAGACAACCATCAAGACCTGGGGCAGCCTTTTCAAGCTTTAAAAACATTAACAGAGTCATAACAATATAGCTACTTTTAATTTGATAATGGAGCTGTTTTAATAACTACGCGTGTTCTTATTCTATGTACATGTCAACCGAGGCTGATCTAGGGCAGTGATCCGGCCTGGTATATGCTGGCAGTAACATACATGTATGCGTATACATACATGTGCCCTGGTTTATCCTTAAATGACATGATATGCAACCAAAAGGCGTCAGCTAAGACAAGCTCTATCAAAGTCTTGCATCAGCCTCTTCACAGCGCTTTCCAGTACTCTTCTACCCATTCTACAATCCCCACCGAGTCCGAGCAGATATTGTGAAAAATAAGCACTATCTTCACAGCATCCGCTATGCCAACTCTGCTTACGGTCATTGATTTGCTGGCTGGTCTGATAAATGTCTTGAGACTAAATGCACAAGGGATCAGGCTTTGGATTCCTTTTGAATTATGGGTTTTACAGATCTCGAATTTTGGGTCAAGAGTAGCCTTCCTAGTCGCACGGGCTTTCATCCTATTCTGAAGTCTTCCGGTCTTTAGCTTTCCAGCAGCTAAGGACATTCCTAATAATCTGGCCAGCCAATATGCCTCATTTCAACTAGAGATAGCCCGTCAGGGTCGAATTGAAAATTGTAATTTTAGACAACCCAGCTTTTGTCGTCGCAAAATCTAACGACAGCTAGCATGAACTGGGGTAGCCTAGTTAAGCTTTAGAAGCTTGATAGACTTATGGTAACATAGAGAGTAACATAAACTTTCTTATTGGGTTTATTTCTACAACTACACGTCTTTTAATTCCTTGCATACAAAGCCTGGTGATCTGATGTAGTATGTGCTTATACCCTGGCTCGTCCTTGATACATTGCTAATAAAAAGGTGTCAGCTCAAGCCCCCTAACACATGGTAATGCCTGGTAACACCTTAATCCAGATCTACATCAGGATCACCATGTGATGAGTGCAGATCAGAAGTCAATGGACCCTTGTATTCTTTTACATGCGAGCTCTGACTGTGCGACGAATAGTCGGCCGGCCAATCCCGCTCTTACATGAAGTTCCACGATACACAGAAGCCACTTAGTCTGTGGAGTTGTCTCTAAAAATACAGTCAATGTTCATTCGCTGGATCACAAAATGGCTGTGAGATTTTGACGGACCAGACGGATACATGCATCCTACAGTATAGTCCTCGCATTTCCGTCGGAACTCTGCAGAACTAGTATTTTGCATCGCACTCCAAAAGCTTACAGGTCTATACATGTATTCGCCTATCGCCATGTGGCCCACTCCACAGCTCTGGTAGCTATTCAATGTTTACTAGAAGCAGTCACCAGACACTTTACTTGAGGCAAAAGCTCCGCTATTCAGTAGGATTATAGCCTTGCAGCTTGAGCACGAGCAATCATTCTAACTTGACACAGCTACTAGGTTGTTAGGCGCACAAACATGTTCATCCTGCCAGTTTAGGCAACCTTTTGGCAACCAACCTAAAGCCTCACGGATTATGATTAATTAATCCCAATTTTATTGTTATCTTCATGGACAGTCTCTCGGCAAGTACAACAAGCGCATGCGTTGGGAATTACTAGTAGATGCAGCGGGAATCCTTCCCGTGGGGCGCACACTTGTACATGGAAAAGTGCGCCCTATTGCAATCCAACAACACAGCCACGTAGATGCACCCAATTGAGGCCATCCCACAAGACCAGGGTTGTAATTGCCTATCTCTGCGACGGCATCTTCAGTTGCTCCGCGGAATCATCCCCGATCCCTAAAGCGCACAAAGATCTTCAACATGCTGTTGGTTGTGCTGTTGGGCAGCGCATGCGGCCGGCCGGAGGCTGAAGCAATAATGAGACCATTTTGTGAAACGCCTGGAAAGGGTCCATATGCACTTCTCCGCGCGAACGCGAAGGATTTCGAGCAGGGGGGAGATGGAAAACTGCAGGGTTTCTATCTTTCCCAAGCACAGACTCGCCCCGGCCAACAGCACAGAAAAAGCTCCCCCTGCGCGGCCTCTTCTGCAGGCCTGGAACGAGCTGTTGGTTGCACCCTGCGTGTTCTCTCTTCTATGCCTAAACAAGGCGGTACTCACCACGCTAAACTGCGCAATGGGCCGTAGTCCAGGTCCGCGTGTGCAGATTCTCTAACCGAAAGACCGCCCATGGCTTACTTGCATGGGAAATGGAGCCTCAGCCGCATCTACGGGCCGCAGCCCTGTCCTTGGAGTGTTCGCGCAAACTTGAAGCACTTTTTTGGCGAGGAAAAAAAACGGGGGTCGATTGTTCGTTCTGGGGACATGTTGAAGGTTAAGCGATGGGGATTGTTTTAAAATCTAACATGTTCGCCACATTGCTAATGCCGGCTCGAACCACGTTTTCTAGATGAATTAAGTGGATTGCATGTAAATCAACTAGAGTGAGCGCCGCTGGGAGTCAAGTCACCATGTCGTTCAGATCATTGCTTTTCGCTACTCTCCTCTATACACTGTTTTCACATGTGGCGTCTTCAGCTCTCACTGTGAGGAACCTGCCCGGAAAGTCTTCTGAGGAGACCATCACCGAGGTTCGAAGACGGCTGGCCAGTGTAAAAAGAAATGGCACAGACGTCTTATTCGACAATTCGACTTCGTTTTCTCTAGATTTTGATGGCGTGACGATTTTTAAGTAGTGAGTTCACTGAAAGGACAGAGAGAACTAAGAAGAAAAACAAGAGTTGCCAGCTAACATGCTACACTTACAAGCCCATTTGACTCAAGCGACTCAATCATCTCCATCACATGCACAAAATGCTACTTCACCGGCCATGCCAGCGCAAAAGTCACGTCCAAAGGCTCCATCAACGCCACCTCGACCATGGACCAAATCGAAGACAGCTTCAAAAGCGTATTCAACAACATCGAAACCTATGCCGAAAACGTCATAGACACCTTCAAGGATGATTTAGAGGACGGTAAAAGTCTCTCAAAGTCATGGCAAGATGTCGAAGCCCTTCCTCCGCCCGACATTGACTTCAATCTCGACCTAAAGTTCCCAGAGTACCATGTAGACGTGAACCTCACAGACGTGGAGATTTACATGCAGATTGACACCGTTCTGGCAGACGGCATCACGTACACGTTCAACATCTACCAGTCCAAGACACTGGCCGGTGTAGCACTCGGCAACGGGCTGCTGCTGGGTGCCGTCTTCTCAGTTGATCTCATCTTCAGCGTAAATGGCCAGATTGACATCCAGAGCGGCTTCCACATTCACTTTGACAAAGTCCGGACTCAGATTGAGCTCTTTGGCAAAGAAGCCTCAGAGTTGGACTTGTGAGTGTTTCACCTACTCACACACGTTTAAACAAAGGAAAAAAAAGGCTAATCAGAAGCTGCAGTGACGGCGGCAAGTTTGCATTCCTCCCCGTATCAATCCAAAGCGGCAACGTCGTCCTCGAAGCCGTCCTCCGCCTCGAAGCCCGCCTCGGCATCTCCCTGCACGATTTCCCCTCGCCAAACAAGGATCTCGACATCGGCGCAGGCGTCGAAGCCCGCATCTTCGCCAACATTGCCGAGTTTGTCACAAACATCACTCTCGGAGAAGTTGATTCCCTCAAGAAGAGAGACGACGACAGCGACAACTGCCGATTGAGCATCGCCCAGGCCTACACCTTTGGCATCGGTGCCGGTGCAGGCGCCTCGCTCGTCGTCATGAGCAACACATGGGGTCCCACGCCCGAAACCCAAATTCCCATCTTCTACACCACGTTGGCGCAGGCCTGCGTAGTGACGAGCACAACTGACACAAGCACAATCTCTGCCACGACGACGAATGCTATTGCGAAGCGCTCCGTGACAAGCACAGTCACCACAGAGACTCAGATCGCAACCGTCTGCGCCTCGCCCGGCCTGATCAACTGCCCTGCCTCGCTGCAAAGCCTGACCAAGAACTTGGTAACAAGAACACTCACATCAAGCGTCGCATCCGGCGCGCCTGTTGTTTGGTCCACAGGCCCAACATCCACTTTCCAAAAGGTCGATTTCCCAACTGATGCCGTGACGATGACGAGCTCATCCGGAAAGCCAAAGTCGTATACTCCCCCTCCACCGCCGCCAACCACTACTGCTTCATCATCTTCATCATCATTACCAAATGGCTCAGACGCTTCATCAGGAGCAAAGTCTGGAAAGCACCGCGTGAGCAACGCCGTCATTATTGGCGTCAGCGTCGGTCTCGGTGTGCCAGTCCTCCTTGCCGTCATCGCAGCAATCATGTAAGTCAACCAGCCATATCCTCTCACTCTATCAATTAGCATCTCTCTTCCACAATACTAACATTGGACTTATCAGATATTTCGTCCGTCGAAACCGCAAGTCACCGCTCACACTACAACCTGCTGACACCGATCCCGTAATGACCAAGGCCCAGCCCGTCGTGACCACTTACACAGCAGTCCGCCCAGAGGATGATCTATAATATATATACCCCTGTTTGCGTTTTGTTTGATTTATTTACCTAAAAATGGTACGAGGACCGTTACAGCGGCATCGTCATATATTCGCCACGGTGGGGCTCAGGGCGGAAACTTGGCTCGCTCCCTCCCGTGGAGAGAGGCCCCGCCCCCATTCAAACGGCGCCGATCTAGATGGGGTGCCGAAAAGCAAAGTATAATATACTTGGGAGTCTTGGCGGTAGTATTGGGTTGGATTACGGATACATGTATGCATGATGGGATCATGCGTGTCTCGATTTTAGAAGCGGTTATCTTTAATCGGTCATTTGGCTACAGTCTTTACATGAAATGGTAGAGGAAAAGATTTGAGATAAAATTCTTATTTTTGAAAAATGCAGTAAACCGTCCACTATTACCATTAATTTTATGCTTTGAATCTCATCCACCATGGATATATTCCCAGTATTTTTCCATCGCCCCAGAACGCCGTCCAAATGCTATGAAAATTCAAATCTAAATCTATCGTTTGCAAGGGGGATATCAATCTATAAATCATGTCTGGCGTTGTGTGAATGCTGGAGTTTAATTTGTTATGGTTTCGGTGTGTTTAGTTGATTGATTGATTGATTGGTTGGTTGGGTTTGTTGGTTTGCTTTGTTTATGGGTTGCTGACGTAGCTCCTCGCCCTGGTCAAGTCGAGATCGTCTTGACGACCGGCGCCATTACCGGTTCGGGACTTTTCAAGATCATTAGGCGCCTCAGGGTTCACCATCTCGTCGTCGCCGCCGTAAGCATACTTGCTATGAGCACGAATCTTGGCGCCAAAGAACCAGAAGAAGAAGGGAATCGCGCAGCAAGCCAGACCGATGAATGCCAGAAGCGAAGAAGCCCACTGGTCGCCGAGTCGGTGGTACATTTGCTCTGTGAACAGAACGCAGCCGGCACCCCAGAAACTTCGGATACACGTCTTGGCGGCAAGGGCAGAGGCGGCTTGGTGCTGGTAGGAGTCGACCAGATAGTTGTTTGCAGAGTTGTAGAGGAAGATGAAGCCAAAGCCGACAGGCCATCCACCGAAGGCGGGTCCGACCCAGTCAAGATCCGTGTACGAGGTCCATGCAAAGATGAACATTCCAATGGGGATGAACCAGCAAGAGAACATCATGGGAATCAGACGGATCTCCGCAGGAGGCTTGCCGTTGTACTTGGCACACATCTTGAGGTAGTGCTTGTTGACCAGCGGGGAGAGGAATGCAGACATGACAACACCGATGGCCAGAGGGATGAACATGAGACCGGTGATACCGGCAGAATAGCCTTTGCCCTCTTGGTACACAATAGGGAAGGCGACGAAGAACATGTAGAGAAGACCGTAGAGAACACTCATGTACAGCGAAATGAGAAGCACAATGAGTTCTCTGAAAAGCAGCTGGAAGGGTCGGATCATGAAGACCTTGATTCGCTCGCCCATGGTCTTCTCGTCAATGTCCTGCTCAGTAACGTAGCTCTCATCACCAGTCTCCTTGCGAAGCTTCTTGGCGCGGCGAGCCAGAATGGTGGGTGCGTATGTCTCGGGGACGGTAAAGGTGATAAGAACATAGACGGCGCCGGAAAGGATAAGCTGGATCCAGTACAGCCAGCGCCAGCCAGCAGCATCAGAGAGGAAACCACCAACAAGAGGGCCAACTATTTTAAACTCGTCAGATGATTTCAAAAAAAAAAAAAAAAAAAAAAAATGAATGAAAGTTGGATGCAATGTCACTTACTAGCAGGTCCAATAAACGGAGCGGCGGAAAAGGCGGCCATGGGAACACCACGCTCCTCATTCCTCCACAAATCTGCAAGTGTACCTCCGACCAGAGTCATGGGAGCCGAAAATGCGATACCGTCGATGGCTCGGCAGACAATCAAGGTTCCAATATTTTGGGAAACAGCGCATGGAATGGTGAAGACGACTGCAATTAGAAGTGTCGAGGCGCTGTGGACGTGTTAGCATGTATAATGAATCAACAGCAGCATCTGTTTGAAAAACTTACTAGATGACTCGTCGTCCAAAGATTTCAGACAGGGGAGCAAAAGCCATGGGACCCACGCCAAAGCCAACAACGAATACCGTGATCGTGAGGAAAGAAACCTCCATGCTGACGTGAAAGGTCTTGCTCACTCCAATCAGATCCGCCGTGATGACCGAAGAACAGAAGGCAACGACGAAACACGTAAGGGCGACAACCATGGTGCAGTACCACTTGTATGCCTTGGACCAGTTCTTGGGGTTCTCGGGGTCATCGTCGGTAAATGTCACGAGCTTGTAGTGCTTCTCGCCACCTTTGCCGCCGGAGGCTTGAGCAACTGAAGGAGGCTCAACCGGCCCTGGGATGGTTCCCGTGCGGGTCTCCACGCGGTATTCGTCAAGATTGGCATCGCTGTTGAGAGTGCCATATGGCAGGTTGACGTCCAGATTGGGATCGTAAACTTCCTTGTCGGGGTTGTTCTGCGATCTGCCAGCGGTCGATGTCCTTCTTACACCGGCTGGCTGAGAGACGCGGCTGATGGGCTCAAGCTGATTGGGCTGTTCTTTGTCGACATCTGTGAGGTCTCCTCCCTCCAAGGTGGAAGTTGAGGAGTTATCTGAAGGTATTACTGCCATTGTAGGTGCTGTGTATCCAAAGCGGATTAAACCAGGGGTAATTCAAGAAGATGATGTTGCTCTAGATGGATGCTCAGATCCTGAGTGTGTGTGAGTGCAACTGTGTGTGTGCTCGAATCATGCCATTATCACCAAGGGATGGCGTGTCATGGCCATATATATATATAAGTGCCATATCTTGAAGCTGTATGTGTGCTGTCGATGTTATAGCACCATAACCTCGGTTATCCCATTCGTCCGATCATCGCAGAGCCGGCTGAGACGTCATCGCCAGTGTGAGACAGGCCTTGCAGCTTCGAGCTGGGCTGCCGCTGATGGGAGCTGGCGGACCCACCGCAGCCTGCACGTAAGAGAAAAAATAAAAGAAAAAAAGATTCCAATAGCGGGGGCGATGATGGGCTGTAATTGGCTGCTGCGGATGTAGCCGAAAAACAAACGTCGCCCAGGTACTGCGAAGCTCCGCAAGAGGAAAGTGCATCCGCAGCGGCCAAAATGCCAGACGCTGAGTGGCCTATCGGCAAGTCCTGCCGCAGGAGCTTAGCCGCAATGGGCTACATCAAGTGGACCCCGGAAATAGAAACGAAACTACTGCGCTCCAGAATTATTCCCTCCCAGAAGAAGAGCTAAACGTGAATGGCAGCTACTGTTTACAACACCATCCAGCGTCTGCCGCGCCTCGCAGCCGTGCCTCGCCAGCGATATGCCGCGCTGCTAGCCGTCGAGATCATGAGGATCCTGCTCCAGGGGTCAAAACAAGCTATTTCGCTTAAGCTTCGTCATCCACAGCGGCTTTCCCCTCTTTCCAGACTCGGACAAACTCTAAAGCTCTGCTTTTCCAGAGAAAAAAAAGAAGCATTTGGCAGCTGCGCTCGCTACAGCCCTGCGGAAAAGTGGGTCTGTTGCCGGAATAACGGAATCGGCTGTCGATGCTTTGTAGGGCTGCAACTAGCAATTGATCACGATCACGATGGCACGCAGGGAATCCATTTCTTTGTTCGTGACGACATGGCGCATTCGTCATCTTTAGCCAAAAGAGAATTCAAAGTGAAGGATGTGAACAAATTCACCTAACATTGGCTGAGAGAGTCTGCTCGGCAGTAGCAGGGCGAGCAGATCGTCCATTAGGGTGCCATCAGGCTGGCGGCTTTCGGCAATTGCAAAGAAGTAAAAGAGAATATGAAAGTCTAGAAGCGTAAAACGCCACAATACCTATCGGTTCAATTTCAATTTTAAGTGTACAGCCAAATTTAAACATGTTCCTAATCGGGTATGTGGCACTGAGGCTAACGAAACTTTTACCAGTTTGGTAATATTTCGTATCAGTCCTTAGCCGAGCTGTACCGAGTTGCCTCTCAGCCTGCCCTGCGATTATCGACCAGCCTGTAATCTGAATTATTCATCTTCATTATGTCGGCATGCTTGTCAAGATTATATGCAGGTTACATGATTGTGGAGCATTCGGTCTTGATGCTGAACTCTTTCATCGATGTAAATGTGTGATCTTGAACAAATGCTAGAATCAAGTCTTCTAGCACAGAGCGCGCTTAGTTTATTGGCAAAAAGGAAACGCTCGGAATTTATCGATTTTGATTGAAAGAATAGTCTCGACCATCTAGACCCATCTCTAGCCTCGTAGTGAAGAGCCTCAGGATCAGATGCCGGTCGCTCTACTCCATAATTCCTTGCAGCTCGTATGAGTCGGGCGCAACTATCTGACGCTTGGGATGGGTTGCAGCGACTGATGAAACTCTTTGGCCCCCTGCATCTGCAACTGCATGTAGCTCTCCGATGGCGGACAGCAATAACCGATCAACTTTTGGAGATAGCAGCGAATCCATCAGATCGTACATTTTGACTCGGTTCCTGAATTGAAATACCTTGGTATCTGAGGGGCGTAAAATTTGTTGATCAGTTTAAATGATACACAACACTAATCCCTTCTTTTGGTGGAGAACAAACACGCTATTTTCTTATTGGCCTTCTCGATTGGGTTGAATACGTTATGGTCTCGTCAGGTTATCACGAGGTCTGCGGGAAATATCGAGCTGTCTAAACTCTAGTCTTATCAGGTTCAATGCAATTCGCCTCCATGGAGTCCGTTCCAATATCCATGGAGAACTGTAAAAATATACGTCTTGAAACTAACGCAAATAGTACCGAAAGTAGGATTAATGTGGTTCTACAACGAATCTCTGCTGAGCAGCTTTGGCACGAGGCATCCTATTCAGCTATACAAGAATGGATGAATCTCACGATCACGTCGCCACCCCCTTTCTTCATTTAAAAATTTGGAATATGTTTAAATTGCCTGACGCCACATGGACTTTGTTCATATTAATGGCAGTTTCAAAGATCACGCAACCAAGGACTACTGAATCATGCTTGCCTTTGGGCTAAACAGTCATGCTAGCTCATAAAGGTCCGCTATTTGTTCCCGCTTCCACTGGATACAATCAATTAAGGTACGTGTATATTATTTTCAAAATCGACTTCGCTGAGGAGCGAAAGGTATCTGATAGCTCAACGCCAGTTGCACGATCACGGGCTAACACCGAACAAGGTAGCAGGCTTTCAACGCCAGCATTTGCCGCAAATCTACAATATTCCCTGCATTCCGAACAAATAAATAGTGTGTACTGCCTCATCCCTTTGTTTTTTGGTTTTTTGCAATAGTCTGGCGAATGCACCATATAAGTTCGGCAATGTTCGGCTAACCGAGAGTCATGATGTGGTTGGTGGAGATATGCATTACCTCAGCCTCGAACAGAAGAGATATCTTACACAGGCATAGCACGACCGCAACTCGGGTTTTTCGAAAAAATATTGAAATTGCGCCATGAACAACAGAGGGATTTCTTGCGATTTGATAAGTGGCTCCGGACGATGCATATATGTATGCAAAGGACTGCCGGTCCGAGGGACACTTTCTACCCTTCAAGCAGCCCCAAGGCATCAAAAGTCTTTATCACCCAACAATTGAAAAGTAGTTTTTGCCTCACTAACTTGGCATTTGTAAAAATGTCATCTATAGCTCTTCGGTTATCATCACAGAATATGCATACAGAGGCTGTCGAGTCGAAGGATTCTCTATACTATTCAAGCAGCCTCAAAACACCATAGGAGCGGTCTTTATCACTTTCCAAGGATTGAAAATCGTGACTTTTATTCTCACCGAGCTAAGCATCTGAAATCCCATGTAAAGCTGCTGACGATAATTAGGGGAGAAGCATACAGAAGCCGCCGATTCGAAGAACACACTATATTAAACAGCACAAGGATGCCCAAGGCAACCATCACGTTCGGGAAGTCGATTCCGATGACTCTTGCCACACTTGATTTTCAACAATTGAGTCGCTGTCCTTATTTGCTCGATCATGGTCACAAACTATGCCATATAAAGACTGCCGACTCAAACACTAGACTCACAAAACAGCACCAAGACATCAAAGGCGACCACCGCTCTCGGAAATTGATTCCAGTGACTGCTGCCACACTTAGTCCAGACTGCTCAAACTGCTGTCTTCGGTTTCCCGGCAATCATCACGAAAGGTGCATGCAAAGGCTGCTGGCCCCAAAGATTTGTTGTATCTGTAAAAACAATTGTAGACGCAAAAGGTGATCATCGCTCTCCAGTAGTTCAGAACTGCGTCTATAACCAACTCAAACTAATCCATTTGCTTGTCTGTTACTAAACTTCCATCTTCAATCACTCATATATCGTCACAAAACAAGACATATAGAAACTACGGACTAAAAACACGCGTTATGTTCTTCAAACAACTCTCAATCACTCAAGGCTACTATTGATCTCTGAAAAGATAGTCTGCCATCTGGAGTTAGAGAATCGAGAGTTCGCTCTATAGATTTCATTCTTTACTCCTGGTTTCTTATAGATTGCGTGCTTTTCCAAGTTTATATGATTCTGATATGCGGCATCTCAAGCTTAAACAACTCTACGCATCTTACGTGAATTTACCTGCGCTAGTTTCCAATCCAAGTCGCAAAACATAAAACTTTAAACCCCTACAAGACAAAAAAAGATCCTCACTCTCATATTTCACTCTTCAGAGAATTTTGATGTCTCATCGAGGCGCAGTCCATCATCTCATATCTCATACCGGGTAGGCATATTACACGCAGTTCGTAATCATACTTGCCCGCGTCAGCGCCAATGTTAAAGAAAGCAACTCTCGTCAGCCGGACCAGATTAATCCGCTCCGTAGTGTAAACTCTCTTCAGCGCTATCGTGTATAGGATCTCAGTTGTCAGTTGGACAAAATTAGAACAACGACGGATACTAGACTACAAATTATCTAGTCTATGCCTGTTACGAGTCCAAGCTAAGAAGGCTTCCGAAGAAAAAGAAGAAAGAAGAAAAATCTTCAGCATCACGCTTCGATCTCTACGTGGGGGGGGAGGAAGCGCCTTAGCCTTGGAGCTAAGAGTATCATCGTCAGACACGCTTCATCGCTCGCATATCTCGCATCACCACTAATAAAATAGCACCGTACTACTGCCACTGACACCATCGTAGTGCGTCTGTCATGAAGTGGGATGTATGCATCAGGCTGCGATTCCTTCCGACTCGACTCTGCATATGATATTAGTGCTAGTCGACGCGTTCAATTGGCGGAGAGGCATTTCGTTACAACCACACCAACCAAAAGGCAATAGAAGCAAAGAGGCAAAAAAAGGGAGGAAACAAGGCAAAAACAGATTTGCTCGTGGACCGCAAACCTCTCTCTCACCGCTGTTATGACTGCCACCACCAGCCGTCAGAAGGGCTGGTCGGTGTAGATCGCGACGTTACACAATCTCTCAATCTTCAATCACACGCGGACGATTAGCTCACAATCTTGTCTGCTGAGATCATTGTGAGGAATGCTTGCTTTTCGCTACGATCTGAGATCGCAAAAGGTACAATGGGCAGAGACCCCTTGGGAAAGTGGCGTATTTTACCTTGCTTTTGCGTCCTCTCGGTCATGGTGCAGGCGCGCGTC